TACATAATACAGAATATACATACACTGCCGAGTTGTTTTTCACTGACTTAAGCACTGTTCACCACTATTCAACACTGGTTCCATTCCTTTCCCTAATGAAATAGTAACTTCTGGCGAGAACTTGTTGATATTCCGGTGGGGAGGAGGGTTCAGGGGAGGGAGTTGGTATGGGCCAACATAGCAGTTGACGTGGCTGTTGCTGAGCAGCGCCAGGTATGTCTGACCCGTCTTGACCCGTCGGTGGTCAAGGATGAAGTGTGTGTGTGTGTGCGTGCGTGCATGCGTTATGTTAGTGTTAAGGTGCAAGCATGGCTTGCTCCCTCTCGTTTTCAGCTGCTGCCGCTGGCTAGCCCTCGTGGCAAACAGGGAAGTAACTTGCATAAGTCCTCCCCTGCCAGTACACAGCCTCTTCACCATCAAGACTCCTGCTGTGCCTCCTCGTGGCAACACAGGGTAACTGGGTGCCTCGTGGGCCCAGGCAAGACCATCAGGGGATGTCGGAGTAGTAATGGGCACCAGAGGGACGGTGCATAGGCCCACTGGCATGTGGACGCATCCTGGCGCCTACCAACCACTGCCCCACTGCCTTGCGAATTAACCTTGGTAGGTATAAGGCTACGGGAGTAAACCCCGAGTGAAAAATCTGCGGTGGAGCCCCGCATCAGGCAGACATGCTTGCAGAACATGCTTACAGAGCTCCAATAAGACCCCAACAGTGTTATAGGTGGAAGAGGTGACCAACATGGGAGGTACTACTGCCTGGGAATATATTGGAAGCATAATGTATTGTCCAATGGTAGACCCTGCTGCCACATGGCATCACAAAAATTGTGACCAAGTTCCAGGTTGCTGATCTGATTTTCTGCCTCATTTACACACAATTGCAGGGTCTCAATTGTTTCTCTTACTATTGACAACACAGCATACTTAAGTATATTTCTCACTTCTGATCTTTTTTTCCATTTATTTTTTTTTATTTTTTATGGTTCTTTATTATTACTTTTATTATTACTACAGTGTTATTATTATCATTATTATTATTTTTTATTATAAGTTTTATTTACTATGAATTATTATTAATATTACATTTTCGCCCCGATGTGGGTCAGTGACCTGTGCCCGGGTGGGCATATCCCCGTAAAAAAAAAAACAAAAAAAAAAAAACATGGCAGTAGGTAGTAGGCATCTACCAAACAGGGAGGTACTACTGCCTGGGAAGATATTGGAAGCATAATGTATTGTCTAATGGTAGACCCTGCTGCTATATAGCATCACAAAAATTGTGACCAAGTCCCAGGTTGCTGATCTGACTTTCTGCCTCATTTACTCACAATTGTAGGGTTTTTCTTAAGACAAACCTGAAAAAGTGCGAAATCGACTCCCTCCCGTGGAAGACGATTACTCCACACCGTAACGCTTGGAGGTGCACCACACTAGAAGGTGTCAATACTTTTGAGTTAGCCCGACTGCAAACCGAAGCAGACAAGCGCCAATGCCAGGAAGACGCTGCCACCGCCCCTCCCGCACTCGGTGTAGCTCTTCACATGTGCAACATCTGTGAACAACTTTGCCGGTACCGTATCGGCCTCTTTAGTCACCTCAAAACTCACCATTGAAGGTGACATCCCTAATAACTCATATCATTATATCATAGCTAGATGATCATCATACTTGATTCTGAGTGACAGCAAAGTAGTAGTAGTAGTGTTGTGTGTGTGTGTGTGTGTGTGTGTGTGTGTGTGTGTGTGTGTGTGTGTGTGTGTGTGTGTGTGACAGTCAATGTGATGAGGCATTTCACAAAATTGCAGATTTTTTTTGTTAAGTTTGGTCCTAACCTAACCTAGCATAACCTAATCTAGCATAACATAACCTAATCTAATTTAATTTAATCTAAACTGACTAGCAATACATAACGTAACTATATGAAAGGGAATAAATTTTTCTTCAATATGTCCGTACAATACATTTTATGAACATACAAATTATTAGTGAATGTTTTATTTCATAATTGAAAAATCCTGAAAATTTATCTTGTAGCAGCGTTTGATAACTCTCCGCTCCCAAGACAAATTACCATATTTTTCCTATGAAATAAAAGTCCTTTTTTATTCATTCATTTGACAGCTAAATTAGCTGCATAATGATGATACATTAACGATATCAGTTTTGCAGAATCTTAGTTAGAAAACAAATACGGTACCCCTGGGTAGATAATGAAGTGTTGTAGATTGACTAAAATGTGCTTCCACTGGGCATACTGTCACATCATCCAATCACAAAACAATATGTTATATTAGTAGGCAGTATTTATTTTGTATATCAATAAAAAATGGATTAAGTCAAATTCCAGGATCACACAGATGTATACATTCAAGACGGCTTTAGGGGACCCTTTTACTGTGGCAACTTTAGGTGTTATTTTGGACTGCATTAAGTGTAGGTAAGAAAGAAAGAAAATGTTTGTGGTCTTTTCCCATGGCTTGCTAGAAAGAGAAATATGAGTGTGTACAAGCAAAAATGTAAACACTGCTTTCAAAGCAATACTTGCAGTAGCACACAATATGAATTCATAAATATTGCACATAAATTACATATTGTGGTAGTATTAAAATTTATTTAGGTAATCAAAAATACTTATAATTAAAATAAAAGGATGTTTCCTCTTTTTAAATACTTACTACAGGTTGACAATCCCTTATCCGAAATCATTGGGGCCAGAGGCATTTTGGATTTCGGAATTTTTCGGTTTTCAGGGGCGTTGTTTTTTTGTTGTTGTTTTTTTTTGGTATTAGTCCACCCGGGCACAAGTCACAGACCCACATTGGGGCCTGGGGGGCGAAAATCTAATAATAATTATAATAATAATAATTCATAGGTCTAGGTCATGTTTCTCACTTTTTATCTTTTTTCATTCTTGTATTTTATTATTATTATTATTATTATTATTATTATTATTATTATTATTATTATTATTATTATTATTATTATTATTATTATTATTATTATTATTATTATTATTTTTATAATACGGTATTACAGTGGTCCCTCGGTTAACGAGCACAATCCGTTCTAGAAGGTTGCTCGTTAACCGAAAACTCGTTAACCGAAACCATTGTTTCAATGGGTCTTTGGGTAATTGGTTCCAGCTCACCGAAAATTGCCAAAATTAAAAAAAAAATGGTAGAAAAGTACACTTACTTTGAGGTGTGTATGTAGAAGGCTCCTGGATGATGATGATGATGGGAATTAGAATGGGGGTGGAGGAGAAGGGAGAAGAGAAGGCATTGGGGTGGAAGAGAAGTCACCCCATGGCGCCATTTCACCCATAAAATTTTAGTTCTCTAAGTGTAATTCAAGATTATTTTCTTTAAATCAACACTGCACTGCATTATATATTGTCAATATGTAAAATAAATTTCAAAATGACTAATAATTTGCTTGCAAACACAGAAAAAAGCATTTAGTTGAAGAGAGTCTCAAGCAAGATGTTACCTCCACTGAAAAGACACAAAGACTGACGCCCGTTTGGTGCGTTGCCAGGCTGGATGGCGCGCATAAAACTAGTTTCCTTACCTTCAATTATGTTCAATAATTGTTAAAATGACTAAAAAATTTAATATTAAACTTTTAAAATTATTGAATAGTATAAACTTCTTGATATTTACTAAAATGGTAAGGAATATAATCCCTAGAACCGATTACTGTATTGGCGGACTAATACTACAGCTGGTGGACCGGCAAATGCAAGCGAAAACATGTTGAGGTTGGCTCGTAAGAAACTCGTTAATCGAGGGATTGCTCGTTAACCGAAGTTAAGAATCTTATGGAAGGTAACTCCTTAACCGAAATCTCGTTAACCGAGGCGCTTGTTAACCGAGGGACCACTGTATTGTTATTATTATTATTATAAGTTTTATTATTATATTTTATTATTATTATTTTCATTATTATTTTATTTTGGTGTATCTTTAATTAAAATTTTTATTTACTATGAATAATTATTATTATAATTAGTATTATTATAATTAGTATTGCTATTACATTTTCGCCCCCCAGGCCCTGATGTGGATCGGTGATCTATGCCTGGGTGGGCTAATCCCTGTTAAAAAAACAAAAACCAAAAAGAACACTTTCGGTTTTCAGAGCTTTTCAGTTTTCGGAATTTCGGATAAAGGGTTGTCAACCTGTATAATAATAAGAACATCTGTAGAAAAATTAACAAACTCAAAAAATTTCTTATGGTCGTTATCTTTATTTAATATATTAGTAGCTCTCCTTTGAACTTGTAAGCGATGCCAATTTCAGGCAAGTGAAGACCGACATGTTGGAGTTGAGAGACATCCTGAGCACTATAGAAGAAAAGGCTGGAATCTCCTGATCGATTGCCGGGTTGAAAAATTGCCAGTTTAGGCGCTTGTGTGACGCCACGTTTATTATTATTTTCTCAGTGATAATTATTTTACACCTTGGACCCATTATCTTTATACAGTACTTCATTTTTACCATACACTGTATATATTTTCTGTGTTACAGTACTGTACTGACATTGTACAGTACGTGCAGTAGTACATATTTTTCCAGACACTGGCAATCGGCTGTATATTTACTGTATTGAACTAGCCAGCAAAGTGAATCCTTACTGGGATTAATTACCAACATGGGTAATAATAATATCAATAGTGATATAAAAAGCATAGTGCTGTAGTCAATATTTAGTTATTCCTTATAAACGAAATGGATTTATTTTCGTAACGCTGATTTAATAATGCAAATATATTTCCACCTGCTCAGGGAAGGTGTACAGTAGTAGCATCTAGTTAGACAATATATAATCTAGTATTTACTGTACTTGGTGTTGTGTGTGAAGATGACAAATTTGGTCACCTTAAAAATTATTATTTGTGTGTAGTTAGTACTGTAATGCAAAACTAATTTATTCTTTTTGTTTGGGTGTTTGGTGGTAACGCAACACTAATCTATGCTTCTTGTTTGTATTACAGGGACGGTGTAGTTGGGGTGCCGTGAGCGTGGTGACCAGCAGCGGAGTGTGAGCAGCGTGCAGGATGGCGACGATCGACGGTCGTCCGGCGCAGTATGGCATCACGCTTAGACAGCTGCGGGAACTGATGGAAACGCGTGGCCAAGAGGGCATAGAAAAAATACAGAGAGAGCATGGCAGCACGCTCGAGATCACTAAGAAGCTTTACTCATCACCCACCAATGGTGAGTGACTATGGCTGACCCATAAACCCACTTCTGGTGATTTTTTCCTAGTTCACTAAGAAGGAATCTTAAAAGCAATACGGGATCCAACAGAGATCACTTTAACAGGAAGGAGTTTTGGGAACCTGGAGGTCTACCAGGAAAGGTTGTTGGGAACCTGGAGGCCTCCAAGGAGAGGATATTGAGGACCTGAAGATCGGCCAGGAGGCAGTGTTGACCAGAAGGTCCACCATTAATGAGTATTGGGGTCCTGAAGGTCTGCCAGCAGGGGGTGTTGACCTAGAGGTCTGCCATGAGGGAATGTTGACCTACAGGTCTACCAGGAGGTGTTGGGACCTGAAGGTCTGCCAGGAGGGAGTGTTAACCTGAAGGTCTGCCAGGAGGGAGTGTTAACCTGAATGTCTGCCAGGATGGAGTGTTGACCTGAAGATCTGGCAGGGGGGGAGTGTTGAGGACCTGAAGGTCTTCTAAGAAGGGTTGATGAGGACCTGGAGGTCTTCTAGGAAGGGGTGATGAGGACCTGGAGGTTTTTAGTTGTTCATTGTTGGAAAGGATGATAAAGTCAGGCATGTGTTTTGGTGAGCTATGAATTGAACTTGTGATATGACAATGACTTTTTATTTATTGTCTTCAAGCGTCAAGGTTTATTGCTCTTGTTATAACACATAACAGTATAGTTGACACCATTTACTACCCATATCATACCATTGAGGCATCCCTCGTTATACGAATGTTCGCTCTACATATATTCGCTTATATAAATACTCTATTGTAGCACCTCTTTCTTATTATACAAAAGCTATTCATGCTTAAACAAATGATGACCCTTGCCTGGCCCACCCCTTCTCACCCCATTTGGTGAGCCCTGACTGCCCTCCCTTTAGATAATGTACCAAATTTATATTTTATTAGTTTTTTAATATATTAAGTACAAAATTTCACTAGTTTGGTATTAAATTATGGTAGCTAGGTACTGTATTAAATTACATAAATTAGGTACTGTACCTGTACTAATTTGCATTAGTTAGGTAATTTTTTGGTGAACTGTGTTTTTTATTCGTAATATGGGAGTTTTGTTGTGGTTAGGTATTAATTTACAGTACAGTGGTTAGGTTAGGTAGGTTTTAGTGTTGGTGTGGTTTTCACGTGGTGTAGTAACTCATCCTAGGGTGTTGATATGAAGGACTTCACGTGGTCATTAAGACACCAGGTGTTGTGGTGTTCATGTGGTGCAGTGACTCGTCCTTGGGTGTTGATATGAAGGACTTCACGTGGTCATGGGGACACCGTGTGGTGTGGGGTGGTGTCACAGTATCTCACTCTGCTGGGTGGTGTTGTGTTATTTTGTAGTCAGGTGCATAGCCGGCCCTCTGTTGTTCCCAGGGTGGACGGATTAACACCGTCTGGTCAGATGAAGGTTCCCAGTGGTGCTTATCTCAGTGGTGGGTCACTGCTCTCACTGGTACTGTATAGTGCTGAATTCATTGGCTTAAACACTGTTCATCACTGTTCATCACTGTTCAACACTGATCCCACTTCGTTCCGAAACGAAATTGTCACTTTTGATTATGTTGATATCCCAGTGGTGAGGATGGGTCGAGGAGAGGGAATTCGGGAATGGGCCGACATGACCAAGGGGGGCCGCTGCTCAGCAGGAGCAGCGTCTGAATAGGTCACGACTCTACTGTATATGCATATTCACTTAATGATTGGGTTTCAAGGAACCTGTATCTAGAACTCCTAATGGTAGAAACAAAGTGTACTTAGCAAAGATAAATACGAATAGTCTTCTTCTGCACAGTGGACAAAATAAAGTCCATATTTATCCTCTGTTTAATTAAGGTTTGCTTTTCTATCCAAAATATACTTGAGGATGTTTATACTTCCTGTTGTAGATGGCACTAGCTCATTATATGTGCCATGGAACAATACAGTTCAATATATGGAACAAAATGAGTGTGTTAAAATTTCTCCATTGATAATTTATCCTTCTTAGTCTTACATTTCCTGCCTCCTTTTTCACCTACAGTATTTATTTCCAATCGTCAGTTTTCTATTAATGATTTTTATTCAACGAATAAAACTTAATGGTTAGATTATACAGTATCTTTGCATGTTTTTTTTTTCCCAGAAGTAACCCCAAGTTTTCCCCTTTTTCGGTAATGTCAACTTTACTGAAGTGGCTTGTACTGTACTGTACTGTACTGTACTGTACTGTACTGTACTGTACTGTACTGTACTGTACTGTACTGTTTATGAAAGAAGGTTATCAGTCTCATGTTGAAATTTTAGTATAAAAGATTGGTTGTCTGCAGATGGCTATTCAAATTTTTGCAAAATTAAAGAAAACTGGTAAAACGTACAACTGACCATTAAATTCCCATAAGCCATATTTTGGGGAAGTAAAAGTACCAGACATTAAAATTAGTGCCGGATGGCAAAGAAAATGGACAATTTACTGTTATACAGTCAACCCTCGCTTTACGCGGTCCCACATTCCGCGTTTCCACGTTTACGCGGTACCCTGCCGAAACCGGAATGCTCACATTCCGCGGTCCGTGTACCCCTTTACGCTGAGAGCGGCGCGAGCAGGGTGCGCACAAGGTCGCCCAGTCATCAAAACATTACGGAGTTCTTCACCCGCCACCCACCACAGCCGGCCCAAGTCAGTGATAGTGATAATGATAGTGAGGATATGGACTTATATGGACTTTGAGGGGTTTGACAAAGAGGCCCTGCAAGCCTCTGTGGTGGATAGTGATACCATTGATACAAGTGAGGGCCAATAATCTGCCCTCTGCCTCGGAACCAACCCCCCATCCCCGTGTGCCTGGCCATCTTTTCTACTAATGTAAGTGTTAAAAAACCTAATATTATTGATATTTCTCTTAATTATTAATTGTGTGTGCATACCATCATTAAATTAAGAAGTTATTTTTACTACAACGTAGGTATTGTGTCTGAAAAAGTGGAGTTTGGGGGTCGGCCCGGTCTCTATTTCAATTAATCCCATATGTTATGTTGTTCACTTTATGCGTTTCTCACTTTACGCGGGCCGCCGTGGGTTGAATTAACCGCGTAAAGTGAGGGTTGACTGTATTAAAAATTTTAAATCGGTTAAATAAATTTTTTTTTTTTTTTTACATTACTGTACCTGCAGATACTATAAATACTGTACAGTACTTGTCACATTCACTAAATGTCAGACCATCAGTAAATTGACATCATATTTTTTTTAAGGGCTGCATGTAACACAAAATTCAAAGATTACAGTGCTTGAGCCCTGTTCTAGAAAATATTGCATTGGCTGCTACCTTTCCTAAAACAAAACAAGGGCGTGAAAAAAATAATAGACCATTCGTCTCTTGAGATAGGCAAAGGATATTTATCACCATGCCTACACATGTTTGTAGGGAATAAAGAATTGTATTTTGTTTGTTAGTGCACGAAAATGAACCACAGATAAAACTTACTTTGAATTTTAAGTGAACCATTTTGGGTTTGTTTATATTCATAGGGTAGAGAGACTCCTTATGGTTGCCTAAACCAATCATTCAGCTGACCTTTAGAGTCACATGTGACCTGCTTTATTAACTTACTGTTCATTAAATTACAGTTATTATTCTTGTGTATTATTTGAGAATGTAGATTTACAGTTCTAGACTACACAGCTGTAGCAAGTGTCTTGCGACTCCTATTTCTATTAATTTCTTGAAAAGTTCAATAGGAAAAAATACATGAACCTTGAATTTTCTTTTAAAATGATGACTATCATTCCTCACCATCAGCCATTATAGTGGATGATGATGCTACTGTCCCTTGTTTAGTGAGCAAGTAGATTCCTTAAAGTTTTTGTCTTCAGAGTTCTCAAAAAACTGATTCCTATCTTTTCTGGGTGTGGTGGGCATAGATACACATGTTGTAATTTCATATATATATATATTCTTGACATAACTGGTTAACAACGAGCTAATAATAATTTATCTTACCATATATTGTTTTAATGCCTATTAATTAAGAAATTATTTAATCCTAACAACATCACTGTTTCTCAGGGTTGAGCGGAAATGCCAGTGACATGGAGCACCGGCGGCAAACGTTTGGTTCCAACGTCATACCACCGAAGCCTCCTAAAACTTTCCTGACGCTTGTATGGGAAGCTTTGCAAGATGTTACGCTCATCATTCTCCAAGTAGCTGCAATTGTCTCCTTAGGTCTATCATTTTACAGACCACCAGAAGATAAAGGCTCAGATGGTCAGTATAAATTGATATTGTATATTATATTACTGTACAGTATTACCCCGCCTAACGCGGTTTCACTTAACGCGTTTTATCATATACAGTATGTTAAATAAGTTTATAATCTCGGTCTAAATGCTGAACTGGCTGCCATTTATTTTCCAGTACTATATTGTGTAATATAGTATGGACAACCTTGATGGGAAAAAATTATATCTTTATCAAATTGGACATACACTTTCAAGACATTATAGAGATTATCCATATAAAATATTTTGTTTTATTTCCTCTTAAAATGATTTAGCGGTGTCCACCTCATTTCGGATTTTGTTCAGTTTTCTGTGGACGAGCTTTGTGTGAAACGGAGTTAATTGAATGAAATTTAATTTGTACTTTCTAAACGGTGAAGAATTATTCTGACCGGTATCATTTTGGTTACCGAATATCAAACCATTGGCAATATTGTACATTTCCTTGTTTAACAACAGGTTCCCAATTTAGTTTTGTCAGTATTCTTATAAAAATTTTCGACCTAACCAAAAATATTTTTTTATTGCATGTACTCTCCAAACTGCAGAACCAGAAGGTATGTGGCAACTTTACTACTTTTTTCATTTTACTGTAATTAATTTCATTACAGATGATATTTCATGACTGAATTATATATCTGATTGATACATATGTTATCCCAATTTTACTATCTGGCTTTTTTTTAATAGTGCTGATAGTTTGTGTTTATATGAATTTGACATTCTATTTTCATGACCAATGGCGTTTAGAGGGATCTGCCGAAGGTAACTAGGAGAGAGAGCACAATAAAGAATGCCTACTATGTATAGTGCCTTAGTAACAGTATATTCTTGAGAAGCTTCTTTCTCGGTGCAGTGTAAAATCCCTTTGGTGGCCCTTCCTTCAGCCTCAGATTGGCATAGTTTTAACACTACAGGAAGTTGCTGGAAAAAAATTTGGAAACTGGCATGAACGTTTCTTAATAAAGCAAAATGGCAGTCTAAAAATGGCTACAATGTTTTAATTTATTAGAGTAAGTAGAATTTGATTTTCAATTTCAATCATACAAAAGAGCCTGACATATGACAGGACATTTAATGTATGTCATATATCTTCAATAAAAAGTAACATTAAAATTTAATCATAGTACAGTATGTGTGTTGATTTTACTTAAAGATATTCAGTTGAATATTTAATATAAGGTAAACAAATTGCATATCTTTCATTGGTATTGCCATAATATTGTACTGCATACACATTACATATGACCTACAGTATGGACAGCTTTCTTTTTTCAGTTTATAATTGCTTTTTGAATACCAAGAGGTCAAGAAAACTGTCAGCATCATTAGGGAATATTCTTGTTCAAGTTTTCAAATGTATTTACCTACTTTTTACCCGACCTCTTGAAAACTGCGTCACAAACTTCAAGATGTGTGTTTGTCAGTGTCATAGCACTGTAATGCTTGTTGTTAGTTCCCATGCTTGTGACACCGGATCTTCCTCTCTGATATTATAATGGTAGAATCTCTTACTTATTAAAGTATTGCTATACCCAATACTGTATATATGATATGTATAAATAAACATCTTGTGTAATACCTTATATTTAGGTTCTGATAGATTTCTTTATACTGGTGTTTGTCATTTATATGGCTTGAGCAACTTGTTCTAATGTATGGAATCAAATTATATTGTGTTCAGAACTTATGAACAGCAATTTTTGTCTCTCTGTGTTACATTCTAAAGACTTTTTGTTGTTGTAAGTAGAGTATTATGTTGCCAACCATGAAATGATACTCTCAGGATAATTAAACTTCCACCACCCATAAAACCCATTGTATTTGTTGGCTTCGTTCATGGGTGTCTTGTGATTGTAAAAATGGATGTGAAGCTCACAAGGGACTCATTTTAGAATTATTGCTTTTGCTTTAAATGTTAATTATGTGTTGACTTGTAGCTAGTGATGGCACGTAGAATATGAACAAATACGGGAACATGCACATAAGTAATTGTAAAGCTTAGTATGTGCTTACTCTTAACTCTTTTTTTTTTTTCAGGTGCTCCTTAATTTGTGTATAACAGTGTAGGAGAATCATGAAATTTCTAGCTAAGTTTTTTCAGTCTTTAAAATATTTGCGTGTACATTTATTTTTGTCTGTGTTATTCTACATATAGTTTGCTGTTTCTCATGGACAGAACAGGGTACTAAATGCATTATTTTTCCCATCTCTTCATTGGCTATTTCCTTGCCTTAGACCCAACATCATTGCACAAGAAATATACTGAACTGAAAAATTATGCATGTTTGTTTAGCTAACACAACAGTAAAACAGTCAGCTTTTGCTTGAAAGCTAGTCACCTTTGTAGAGATCTTTCCCTGGTACAGGTATTCATCATTACTGGGTCATTTACGGCCTCCTGTATATGCCACAGTTTCGGCATATCAACACTCCCCTCACACTCTGGACACAGCCTTCACACACATATTCTATAGTTAATCCTTCCACCTAATCATCAGTGTGTTTCCTGTATCTGTCTTAAGTAAATTTCATTCAAAATAATTCTTGACCATTCTTATCATTCATTTCTTCATATTTCACTCTTAATATACTTAGGGGTTTGTTCTTTAACAAATCGATCGATGTAAATTAACTTCTTATGGGAAAAAACAGGATTGCTTTTATGGATGCAATAAATTCTGTGTACAGTACCCCCAAAATTGTGTACACACACACACACACGCACTAATGGTTGCCCTGCGTGTTCAAGGCTGGCTGGTCCTAGGGCGTATGGCTGTCACCAACACAATAACCCAGTGTCAAGGAATATATATACACACACACACAGTGTAGACCCTTGCCATTCGTGAGTTTGTGATTCACAATTTTGACGATTTACGGTAAGCAGGTGATGGCTATGGTGGCTAGCTTGCAAGCCCTTTCCCGCAGCACAACGAGTCACCCCACGCAGCATTTTATGTTGTACTCAAAAAACTTTTGTGTTTCTGTGTGAAATGGCCCTAAAAGACTGCCTAGTTTTAGTGCTAATGATACTAGTTGAGCAAAATGTAAAAGGCAGAAGTCAGTGATGACCCTGACAAAGAAAGTTTTATTTTTAGATAAGTTAAAAGAGGGATGAGTGCTGCTGCGGCTGGTCGGTTGTTTGGTATAGGTATACAGTAGTGCACTAAGGTAGTATAAGTTCCAATTTGCGGTTTTGCCAATTTTCACCATTTCTTGGAACCTATCCCTCGCGAATGGCAAGGGTCCACGTCATCCGCTGTTAATTGGGACCGGAAAAACGCCTCTGATAACAAATCCACTTAAAACGGGGAATTAATCCAATAAGAAATAATGGAAATATCTTTTAACAATTTACCTGAGAAACATTTGTTAAGCATTTGATAACATTATTTTAAGAATTTTTTTAACCTTATAAGTTATTTAACGTCCATAAAGTTCAGCGGTGTGTTAAGGCAACGTAGGTTGTGCCAGCGACCCGGTGGTCTGCAGCAACCGTTACGGGAGCACACTCACTCCAGTGGTTCATTGAGACAAAATACTTATAATGTTTTAAAAATAAATAATGCTAACTTAATAAAATATTTTTATTTACTTAGCTTCAAAGGTAGAGATATTTGACTTGATTGGACGAATGGAGGTGGGTGTCGAGAGAGGAGGATTAGTCGGAGGATGAAAGAGAAACAGGACTAGGTTGATTGTCCACTCCCACTCTTTATTCACCTACGGATAATCACTTCTAATTTTATATCTATACTATAGTTAGTGTGTTTTCTTGTGAGTGCTGCACCACCCTGTTTGGGTTGGGAACTCATGGCAACAAAAATTATAAATTAATCCACCACAACATGCACAAAAAAACAACAAAGGCAGGAGAAAACACAACACAGCACTGGTCTCGATGAAACAAAGCGGGAGACTGGTGCTGAGACACGTGTGTGGCACTGTGTGCATGCATGATACCAGGAAGAGGATGAAATTTCAAATGCTTCAGCTAAAAATCTGTAAATCTTATCCAGAGTTTTCAGAGTTTTTGAGTGGAATCCACTTAAATGCGGGGATTTCTTTCGTCCTATCCAGAGTATACAGTGTGTCATTTACATACCAAGGGAAGGGTTTGATATGATTATATAAAAACAATGTATTGCCCTAACATTTATATAAAGACTAACATGGGCTGATACATTCGTGATGGAGTGGGGCTTCAAAATGCTGGTTCGTGTGATTTGAATCACAATTCATAAACTTAGGCCTTTAAGTTCAGTCTTCACATTTTTCCTGCCTAACTACTCATTAACTCTGCTCTGCTATGTTCCTCGTGGAACATAGGAGGCTAAATGTTCTCTGTACTTTAATTTTTTCATAATTTCAGACTATAATTTCTCCACACAGTCTGCATTCTGTTTTTACAATGACCTTGGTGGATTCCTGATAGTATACCAGTTGTGGATTTGGCTAATCTCAAATAAGGTACAATTACGGTGGTATTCTGCATCAGTTTGGTCTTTCAGTATAATAAAAAAGTTTTTTTGACAAATGGTAGTGTCACCCTTGCTTAATGTGAAGAGTATTCTTTATTTTTATCTGTATGACCATTTTGAAAGTGCAGATACATTTAAAGCCTTGCATACAATATTGGCTAAAGATTTCTGAGAAAATTAGTATGTGCCCTCCTTCTGGAAAATGTAACTCAGAGAATCATTAACATGATACATGTACTTGGTAAATGTAAGGTGCCTCCTCAGGAACCTTGGTACAATTTGGTGGATTTATATATAAAACCCCCTAATATGGGTATGTATTTAACTACTGTACCTATATGCATTCTTAATGTGAGTGCTGTTGCTTGAACAATGGGTACATTCCTCTGACAAGTTTATTACAGTAGTTACAATACGGATTGCGTGCTTGTGTCCTGTTCAAATCTCCTGAATTGTTTTATTTATTCAGGTAAGATTATTTCTTGGGCTTGCAGTACTCAGTTCATCTTGCCTACCTCTTGGCCTGTTTGAATTTTTATTGAGTAAGCTCTAGGTCAGCATCTGTTCTCCTTCACAATGGCATCTAGTGATAGTATGCTTGTTTTAGGTGTGAATGATCATGACTGTAATTGAGTCCTCTGATAATTCATTGGGTCACAACATCAAGCTGAAGACAAGAACACTATTACTGTAGTGTCATTCTTCTGAATCTAAGTTGGATGATGATCTTGGTGAGGGATTTTCATGGGGTGATTCTTTGTTTGATTTAGGTTGGATAATTTCTAGAGGAGGCCTCTGATAGTTTGTTATGGATGAAATTATGTTGACTTACATCACTGGAGTTTGGCATGCTAGCATAGATAATATTACAACAATACCCCCAAAACTAATGCTATAAGGGAGGTTTTTGGTGGGGTTTGTCTTTTGATGATATCTAGATTAACCTGCTAAAAGCCATATTAACCCCTTGTGTATGGGGTCCCCTCTGAGCTGAATAAAATCGTCGGGCATCAGCCAAATATAATATTGAAAGTGGCATCCCTGTAGTGAAGGGTATTTTCACAGGAGTTTCTCTTAAAATCCAACTGATTCTTTGCTTCGGTAAGTTTCCAATACTGTACAGTATTCGGTATGCTTGATCTGGAAGCCATCTTGGACTTGGGGTACCAAAGTTCAAGTCAATAGATTTTATTGAAATTTTGGACTTTTATCTTTCAAAGGATTTAATTTCAACTAATATTGTGCTTTTTAATGGGCTGACCATCTTTGTGATAATTTTAC